AGTGCCAGAGATGGAGGCAGAGATAGAGGCATGGAGAGGGGGAGCGGCTGAGGACTCTAGATTCATGGACTAAGAAGAGAGCTGGTGGCTAGGAGCAGACTTGCAGAATGTGCCCTTTGGTGATGTAAATTATTATATATGCCTGAGTGGGTTTTTTTGTTTGTTTGATTTTTAAAAAGCTAAAGTGGAAAGAGAGAAATACTGTTAACTGATGGTACATGGAGGGGAGTATAATCATTGTAATGAAACAAGGTGTATGATTTGTTGAATGTAAAACTGATGCTATGCCCTGTAAACTTTCATTCAATCCACAATAAAAACCTTAAAAAAAAAAAAAAGATAGAACTTCTGAGGTTCCACATGCACCTCCTGGCACCAGCATCAACCCACATCCAGCAGCTAAGTCAGGATCACAGCTGGCCCTTCCTTTGTGTGATGAGAACTCAGGTATGGAAACACTGGGCTCTTTCTTGAGTCCTATACCCACTGAAAGGAGCCTTGGTAGCGCAGTGGGTTGCACGTTGTGCTAACTGCAAGGTCAGCAGTTCGAACCTACCAGCTGTTCTGTGGGCGCAAAATGAGGCTTTCTGCTCCTGTAAAAATTTACAGCCTTGGAAACCCTATACAGGATCACTATGAGTTGGAATCGACTCCACAGCACACCACCACCACCACCATACCTGCTGAAGCATCGGGTGGCTAACCACAAGGTTAGCAATTCAAACTCACCAGTTGCTCCATTGGAGAAAGACGAGGTTGTTGCCCCTGTGAAGTTCTTCTGAAACCCTCTGTCCTATATCCTTGCTAGGCATTCTAACTGACTCAGCGGCAGTGGGCTTGGTACTTAGTTTGGTATAAAAGCATTGAGTTCAGTGATAATGAAGCCTTCACTCAAAAACTTTCTCTCTTGTCATTCACTATATATCTATTTGCTGTCTACTAAGTGACTGGTGGGCTTGAAGTGCCAACCTTGAGGTTCAAACCGACTTTGCAGTCCAGCGTATTAACCCACAGTGCCACACCAGGGCTCCTGTCTGTCTACTAGAACCAGTCTATGTGCTTAGTTGCTGGTGGACTGAAACGGAGTCATGGATATATATTTGGTCTACACGGTACTTTAAAATTTTTTGTATTCATTCCTAAAGTGTAAGAATGTGGAAATTGTATAGAACAATATGGTCTCTGGATTTCTCTTCAATGATCAAATGCCTAACAGTGGGTCAAAGCCCAATAGAACTGGATACTGGTAGTTTCTTGTACGTGTAGCGTGGGCCTTGTGTTCCCATTGCCTGCTCCAACCATCCACTGTTCACACACTCACTCCACCTGATGGCCCCAGTGGGCAGTCTGTTTTTGTACAAATGAATAATAACAAAAACTAACATGTATTTAGCGCTTAGTACATACCAGGCCTTCTGCCTTCTTCAAATTGTTTTATACATATGAACTCGTTTGAGGCTCATAGTAACAACAAATTGAAGAAATACGAGGGGGGCTTTAAAAAGTTCACGGGAAAATGCCATTATCATTCCATTCCAATTTTCCAGGAACTTTCTGAAGCCAGATACTATTCCAGCCCTGGAGCTATTATTGCAACAAGCATGGTCAGCTGCCGTGAAGTCAACTCGATTCATGGGGACCTCATGTGTGTCAAACCCCATGAGGCAGTGCTGTTCTTCATAGGTTTTCAATGGCTGATTTGTAAAGAAGCAGATCACCAGGTCTTTCTTCCAAGGCACTTTAGGGGGACTCAAGCCTCCAACCTCTCACTTAAGAGCTACGTGTGGTAACTGCTTGCATTAGAAAGCAAAACTAATAAATGCCCTGCCTTCATAAAGCTTTTATTCTGGTGAGGGGATATAACAACAGACAGAACAAATTAATAGTAAGTTGGAAGATATACTTGCAAGACAGGAAAACAGAAGAAATAACAAGGGGTCTGATCATGGTTAAGGTTAGGGTGATTGTTGTTGTTGTGAAGTGCCATCGAGTCAGTTCCAACCATAGCGACCCTGTATAGGGTTTCCAAGGAGCAGCTGGTGTGAGTCTGAACCGCTGACCTTGCATTTCAAACCGAGTTTGCAGTCCAGAGGATTAACCCACAGCACCACACCAGGACTCTTGGCATTAGGGTTTTGGGGTTAGGTGTGTGCTAATGTAGTATAATAGAATGGTCAGTATAGGCCTTGTTGGGAAGGAGACAGTTAAGTAAAATTTCAAAGCAGGTGAAGGGTTAGGAGAAGAACATCCCAAGCAAAGAGAGAGAAAGAGCGAAATGTGTTTGCATTGGTGGTAGTTGTACAACATGATCGATGTAATTGGTGTCGTTGTCTTGTACACATGGAAATGTTGAATAGGCAAATGTTATGTTACACATATATATAAATTTGTATATATGTCGTGGACTTCCAGAAGAACAAACAAATCTGTGTCGGGAGAAGTACAGCCAGAATGCTCCTTTAGAAGCCAGGATGGTGACACTTCATCTTTCATACTTCAGGCATGTTAATAGGAGGGACCAGTCCCTGGAGAAGGACATCAGGCTTGGCAAAGTGGAGGGTGAGCAAAAAAGAGGAAGATCCCCCCAACAAGATGAATTGACACAGCGGCAGTAGCAATGGGTTCAAGTTTAACTAGGATTATGAAGATGGTGGAGGACCGGGCAGTGTTTTATTCTGTTGTGCATAAGGTTGCTATGAGTGCAAGCGACTTGATAGTACCTAATAACACACATATATATACACATATATACATATACATATATTAATATTTACAACAACCAAAAAGAAAGACTAAAGCTACCAGCCAGTAAGACAAATATAAGAAAGGTGCTTGGGGTCACTTAGCTGGGAAGAGGCAAAGCTGAGTGTCTGTATGTCTCCCCCTTCCATTAAATGGTTTGCTAGAAGATGCTTCCCTACTCAGGAGCTCCCAGGGAGTGCATCCGAAGGGCAGAGAGAAGTGTTGCTCTTAGAGAACTCAGCATACGCTGGGGTGCTGGAGAGACAGATGAGGGAAAGACCTTAGCACACATGGAACCAAGGAAAGACCTTAGCACATGGTTCCAGCTCCGAGGAGTCCCTGAGTGGGACAAATGGTTAAGTATTTGACTACAAAGTAAAAGCTGGGTGGTTCAAACTCACCCAGAAGTGCCTCATAAGAAAGTTTGTTGTGAAAGTTCAGCCTTGAAGACTCTGTGGAGCAGTTCTACTACGCACACATGATTCACTCTGAAGGTCCTGTCCTCCCAGCATTCTCCTCAGGGACCAAGATCATTTCATTGCTGCTCTCAGCTCTTTATTCTAATCCTGAGAGGGTTCTGGGAGTTTGCCACATCCCCAAAGCTGCAGACTCCCTCCTCCCTCCAAGTACCAGACAGAACTGGCCACAAATCCTCCTAATCTCCCATGTCTTTGTGGCCCAGTAGCACTGAGCCCAGCAACGAGGAGACCACATCTCATCCATACACCCAGCAGTGACCACCGGCTGGTACCCACTTGGCCTCATCAATGGGAAACAGCAAGAGCGGGGCCTTGTCCAAAGACATCCTGAAGGAGCTGCAGCTGACCACCAAGTTCACAGAGGACGAGCTGTGTGCCTGGTACCAGTCCTTCCTCCACGGATACCCCAGCGGCCGCATCACACGGCAGGAGTTTGAGAGTGTCTACTCCAAGTTCTTCCCCGACGCTGATCCCAAGACCTACGCCCAGCATGTGTTCCGCAGCTTCGACACCAACAACGATGGTACCCTGGACTTTAAGGAGTATGTCATTGCCCTACACATGACCACCATGGGCAAGACCAACCAGAAGCTAGAGTGGGCCTTCTTGCTGTACGATGTGGATGGCGACGGCTCTATCAGCAAAAGCGAAGTGTATGAGATCGTCATGGTCAGTATCAGCCCCCGCCCTTCCTGGCTTGAGTGGGGGGCTGGGGTCACGGGCTTCAGGCTCCTGGCTACTGCTGCCCAGAAAGGGCTAGAGCTTCAGAGAGGCCAGGCCGGGTGTGGAGGGTGGACTAGGGGATGCGGACTTTGTGCCTTTAGGATTCTGACCACCTGACGAGGAAGGGTCTTTAATAGACTAACACTAGGGAGTCCTGGTGCGGTGCTGGGGCTAAGTACTGGACTGCAAGGTTGGCGGCTCAAAGTCACCAGCCACTCCTCGGAAACCCTGTACAGGGTCACTACGAGTCGGAAAAAACTCAACGGCACTTAACAACATAGCTTGGCCTAGAGTCCTGGTGTGTCCCCATAGGATAACACTACGCTGCTAACCTCAAGGTTGGCAGTTCAAACTCACCAGCAGTTCCATGGAAACCCTATACAGGGTCACTATGAGTCAAAAACGACTCGACAGCACTTAACAACAACAAAATACAGGCTGGGCACATTTCCGTATCTTGATTATCTTTCTAAAGATAAGCAAAGAAGAAGCTGGGTATAGCCCATTATTCCCATTTCTTCCTCCCTCTGGGCCTTTTGTCCTTCTCACAACATGTCCAACATACATGAGACGAAGTCTCTCCATTCTCCCCTTTAAGGAGCAAGCATTCTGGTATATTTCTTCCAATTCTGACTTGTTCATTCTTCTGACAATCCATGGTCTAGTCAGTCTCCTTTACCAACCCATAATTCAAATGCATCCATTCTTCTCCAGTCTTCCTTATTCATTCTACAGCTTTCACATACATATGAAAATGCCATGTGTTTGGGTCAGGCATACCTTAGTCCTCAAAGTGATATCTAGCCCAGTACAGAAAGATACAAAATGAGAAGTGAGAGTTTACATTAACCCTTCTGCACATTCCCTGGCACTTCTGAGGATCTTGTGAAAATACCGATGCCCAAGCCCAAGTCTCTGGGATTTTGATTCAGCAGGACAGGCCGGGGGCTAGACACGTGTATGCTAAACCATTTCAGAGTCCTGATGTGGCAGGTTAATACTCTGGACTGCAAGGTCAGTGAATCAAGCGCCTCGGAAACTCTATACAGGGTCGCTATGAGTCAAAACTGACTCAACAGCACTTAACAACAACAATGGCCCCTGCGGGAGTCATTGATGGAGGTAACCCAGAGCCCCTCAGGGAGGTTTTCTCAGGCTTTCCAGTCCTGCCTGCTCCTTCTAACATATCCATGCTTTCAATTTGGTACAGGCTATTTTCAAAATGATCAACCCTGAAGATGCAAAGCATCTTCCAGATGATGAAAACACACCAGAAAAGCGAGTCAAGAAGATCTGGGGATTCTTTGGAAAGAAAGATGATGATGGTATCTCTTCCTCTGTAGTTTTTGGTTTTACAGTCACGAGCTGTTTCCTAAAGACCCTTTCCGATGTCTGCTGCCACCCTGGAAGGAAGGTGGAGGGAGGATCAGTGGTGATGGTGGTTATGTGCCGTGGAGTCGGTTCTGACTCATAGCAACCCTGTGTAGTGTTTCTGAGACTGTAAATCTTTATGGGAGCAGAAAGCCTCATCTTTCTCCCATGGAACAGCTGGTAGTTTCAAACTTCTGACTTCAAGGTTATCAGGCCAAACAGGTGATTAAAAGATCCAGGATATATGCCAATGGGATTCCTGTTTAGTTCAGCAAAGCTATTTTGACCAGTTACTATGTACTGGTGTGACGCTGTGGGTTAATACGCTGTACTGCAGGGTCAGTTTGAACTATAAGGTTGGTGGTTCAATCTCATCAGCTGCTCCTCAGAAACCTTATACAGGGTTGCTATGAATCGAAATTGACTCAACAGCACTTAACAACAATTATATACTAAGGCCTTCTGGTTTGGTGCTGTAGGATCAACACTGGACTGTGAAACACAAGGTCGGCAGTTCAAACCCACCAGCTGCTCCTAGGAAACCTAGGGTTGCTATGAGTTGGAACAGGGTTGCTATGAGTTGGAACCAACTTGATGGCACTTAACAACAACAACTATGTATTAAAGGAGCCCTGGTAGAGTAGTGGCTTACAGACTGGGCTGCTAACCTCAAGGTCAGGAGTTTGAATCTACCAGTCATCCCATGGGAGAAACATGAGGTGTTCTGCTCCCATAAAGATTTACAGCCTCGGAAACTGTATACAGGGTCACTATGAGTCGGAAATGACTCCCCAGCTTCCCACCACCACCACTCTATACTAGGCACTATAAAATGCAGGAGCTCTGGTAGCGTAGTGGTTACAAATTGGGCTGCAAACCACAAGGTCAGCAGTTCGAAACTACCAGCTGTTTCGTGGGAGAAAGATGAGGCGTTCTGCTCCCCTAAAGACTTACAGTCTCGGAAACCCTGTACGGGGTCACTATGAGTCGGAACCGACTCCACAGCACATAACAACAACATAAGAATGCAACTGTGAGGAGAAAGCAGTACTTGCTTCTTCCTATATGAAACCACCTCTCCCAGGAGACCAAGAGTCTCCTGGGGGACAAGAACTTTCTCTTCTATGTCACCCTCGACCCTCACAACATCCTCAGACACAAGTCATATAGCAGGGTATAGCACAGCATAAGAGCTCAATAATTTGCATTTCTTTGGACTGAACTGTATAGAGTAGCCTAGGAGCTCTGGTAGTGTAGTGGTTATGAATCGGGCTGCGAAACACAAGGTCAGCAGTTAGAAACTTCCAGTGGTTCCACGGGAGAAAGATGTGGCGTTCTGCTCCCGTAAAGATTTACAGCCTTGGAAACCCTGTGCAGGGTCACTATGGGTCGGAACCGACTCCATGGCACTTAACAACAACAACAACAACCTGGTAAAAGAGGCATTGGTAGTTGAGTGGTAGAATCCCAGCATTCCACATATGGGACCCAAGTTCAATTTTCAGCCAGTGTAGCACCCATCTATCAATGGAGGCTCGTGAGCTACTTGATGCTGAGCAAGCTTTGGTGGAGCTTCTAGACTAAGATAGACTAGGAAGAAAGGCCTGGTGATTGATTTCCTTCTAAACTTCAGTCAATGAAAATCCTGTGGTGCATGGGGTTGCCATGCATCAGGTCCGACATGCCAGCAACCAGCCTGCTGAAAACTCCCTGACAAGCAGTGCCTAGCTGGGACAAGGCTCTCTCTTAGTCTTGACCTCAAGTAGGAGAAGTGGATTGGGGTAGGGGTGTCAGCCAGAAGCCACGGCAGGTTTCTCCCTGCTGGACCCCTCCTCTCTCATGGCCTCACTCCTAGGATGGACTTTGTCCCCTGCTTCTCAGCTGACACGGTGGGCCTAGTGTGCTTTGCTGTAATCAGTCACCTAGAACTGAAGACCCAACAAGGCAGAGCATCCACCAGTCAGAGAGGCAGCTAACACCAGCAGGCATCCCTGGGGGTGCCAGGCTTTAGCATTGTTTTTGCTGACTCAATTGTCCTGGGGAAGAGTGGGTGCTGGGGCAGGATGGGGGGGGGTCCTCTCAGGGTGGGACAGTGAGTATCATTCTTTTCATAACAGTTACATCAATCTGTACTGGGTGTACTGATTGGGTACCAGCTTGATCACATTTTGAAACAATCTGCGTTATTGGGTTTTTTTCCTCCTCATGCACAGATAAACTTACAGAGAAGGAGTTCATTGAGGGGACCCTGGCCAATGAAGAAATTCTGCGACTGATCCAGTTTGAGCCTCAAAAAGTGAAGGAAAGGTTCAATGAAAAGAAACCCTGACGTCAACTCTGCAGCTCTCGACCACCCTCCCCAGACCTACCAAGCGTGCGCGAACATTCTGTCTCTCCAGAGGCTGAGAGAGGCCTCCAAACCCACAGCACAGTTTTCTGACACACAGCAGCATCTTCCTCCACGTTCCCTTCTTCCCTCTGTCTCCCCACCCCCTGCCACGCCAGCCTACGTCTTAATCCCAGTGTCAGGTCATCTGGCACAAAGTGTCTCCCAGTGTAAGTTCTTTTGTGGGATGCTGGGTAAGCAGGTTCCAATAAAAGCAAAAGAAGCTGGTATACAGCTTGACGGGTGGTTCTTGAATTAGAAAAAGAAATTGTTTCTGTTTGCTGGACCTTAAAGACAAAGATATTTTGCAATGGCAGTTGTAGGCCACGAAGCTGGGGGACACAAGACAGAAATGGTACCACCTTCTCAGAGCTCACAGCCTTAAAGCAGTCATGAGGCATGGCTGGGGTTACCAGGGAGACCTGCAAACATTGTAGGAAGATGCAATGGGCGGATGGGGACAGACATTTCCTAATGAAGAGACATGGCAATTAAAACCCAAATGAGAGAGAGGACCATGGTGGAGGAAGGATAGAGGTGGGCAAGTGTTGTGGTTCAGAGAGCAGCCAACACTGAGAGGGAGACAGGAAGGAGCATTTCAAGAATCAGTTATGAGAAGGTCAGTGTTCTGGGAGAGCAGAGAAGGAGAGAGAGTGCAAAGTGTGAGCCAAGTCTAAAGGTAGGCAGGGGGCAGACTAGGCTAAACCACCTTTCTGGTCCATAGTATGCAATGGGGTCTTTACCATGGGGGTGGTGGGTACCATTGTGGGGGCTAGAGGAGGAGGGTTGTGTTGGTAAGGGAATCCTCTAGAGGCGAAATGTCTGGCAATAGAACTTTGCAGTTTCTCACTTGACCTGAGCCAGGGAAGTGTCAGTGGGATGCAGGAAGAGACCTCTCAGGAGATAGTCGGGAGGCGAAACCCACCTACTGGCTGTGGGGGAGGAGGAGGGAGCATCGTGAGTGTTTCTAACTCAGGCACTGGTGAATAGTGAGGGCATTTATCTAATTTCTGAGATGGGAGACCTAAGTGAAGTTGCTGGTTTCACTGGGAGATAACACGCTGACCTGTGGGTGGGATGGCCAGAGAAGATTGAGCCAGAGGCATGCCTGAGACCCTGAACTTCAGAGGTGAGGAACGGGAGGCCCAGAGGCAGGAAGCAGTTTGCTCAAGGCCAAGGCTACCACTGGCCCACATGCCTCCTCAGAGCTCCAGGGCCCAGGACACTAAGGAACACCCATGGCTGATCTTCACTGCTATGAAGGCCTATTGATTCTCCAGCCTTAAGTCCCAAATTGAAGGCAGAAAACTAGATGCCCTGGACCCTTGGCAGCTATGCAACTCCTGAGGCGGGGGTATCCTAACCCCCACCCTGGAACTTTAGCAGCTGCAATGACATTTCCATCACCGCCCCAGATTACGAGAATAACCCTAACACTTAGTGAAGGAACCTTTCCTACGGCCAGGCATCATTCCAGACATTCTGTAGGCATAATTGCATTGATAGAGGCATTATGCATTGGGCTGCTAGCCACAAGGTCAGCAATTCAAATCCACCAGCCCAACCCCTCTGCAACAGAAAGATTAGACTTTTTGCTCCAACAAAGATTATAGCCTTTGGAAGTACAGTGAGGGAGCTCTGCCGGCAACAACACAGAATACAGGACCAAACAGGCTCAGGGGATGGTCCCAGAACTCTGAACCACATATAAAGGAATATTTAGAAGGTTGGAAGACTTACAGCTGGGAAGTTTGTGGCAGAAGCAAGAAATCCATGGCTTTCTGGTTCAGGACGCTCAGCTCCTCCAGGAGCCGCCATTTTGAGTGGGGCCAAGCGGGGAAAGGATCAGAGCAGCCACGGACGCCTGGCAAAGCTGCAGAGATAGAGGTGTGGACATTCTTTTCTTGTCTTTTTTTTTAGTATCTGTTCGCTGGTCCCTGGCTGTCTGCGTACTTCCATTCTGGTAACTATAGGGGTGTCTGAGCTAGTGGACAACCCAGCCGCACCCTCGGAGGGTTCTACTACGCATGTGCGCAGATCTCCTTGAAATTTAAAAAGACAGTTTCCACTTAAAACCAAATGGCCGACAGATACTCAGCCCAAGAGCGGGCCTTGAACTTTTCTTGTTTGTTTTTTTGTTCGTTTTTTAACACGGGAAAGAGAAAGAGAGGGCTGTAGTGAGGGAAAGAGAGTTTAAAAGTAAAATAGGCTGAAGTCCTGAGGTGTAGCATAACAACAAACAACGGCATCTTGGAATCTCTCGGGCAGCTTTAAAGGCAGGAAACTGGTGATTGGACATTAAAGTCATACTCATATTGTTGTTGTTATGTGCTGTGGAGTCGGTTCCGACTCATAGCGACCCTGTACAGGATTTCCGAGGCTGTAAATCTTTACGGGAGCAGAAAGCCTCATCTTTCTCCCGCGGAACAGCTGGTAGTTTCGAACTGCTGACC